TTTTCCGATCCTTTTTGTTTTTGTTTTTTTTCTTTTTTGTTTTTTTTTTTTTCCTGTTATAGAGCTTTCAAGAGGATGTCTTCGGAAGAAACAAACGCCGAATATGTGATATTGCTCTGCGCATGGGCTGTGGTCAATCCGAACATTGAAGAAGAAAATAAACAGCATCAATGAAAAAGACCGTTCTTTTTAAAGAAAAAAATCTTAACTCCTGTATTAATACATAACTTGAAGAGAATTATGTGTCAATTAAAGCTAAAACCTTGCTTTGATCTTGGTCTCAATGGAATGAGTTGAATGTTAAAGAGGTGCTTTTCCGGAGCATAGTACGAGATAGGATATCTTATCTTGAATCACTGAGCGCTGTGCTAAAATAAGTCCTCACTGAAATTGAACCACACATCCTATCTATCAAGAATAAGGGGTTGCGTGGTGCTCCCATAATAGTCTGGTCCTTATATCCCTTTAGCAAGAGTGACGAAAACTAGCGTTTTCTACCCACGCGTTCACAATCATATCCATCAGGAATTTAGATAAACGTTTGCCCACAGTTCGTGAATGCGCTCTCAAATAAAAGTATATTATTCTAATAACCTCATGTCACAAAAAATGGTTTTCCCTTGCGTTGAAAAAATAACCTTCCTTTCTGATGTAAGAGAGAATTTCTTAAGTTATTCTTGCGCATCTGTAGTTCTCTCTTACTCTCTCTCTATTTGTCTTTCTTGAAATGAATGATTTAAATTTTTATTTGTCACGCGTGCGTTCACTTCTTCCGTTTTCATTAAAAATAATTTTTTTTATGTTTATTCAAAGGAGAGATATTCTCCAATTAATCAGGACTTTCCGCTTAGCGCAAACATAACCTTGAAAACAAAAATAAAAAGTTACTTTCTGAAAACTCTCCTCTCGGCAGAAGACCTTTAACACTTTAATGGGTACCAAATTTAGATGTTAACTTTTAATTTCCACATATCCTAATATTATACCTCACGTAAACCAATATAAGTGTGTTGCATACAATATTCAGCCGAGGCAATTCCAACCCGCGAAAGTAGAATATCAGTAATTCCTTTGCGTTTTTTGTTAATTCAAGTCAAATATCTACGTTATGTAGATGTTTTTTTTCCGCATGTCAAATTTCCTGTTCATTGGTATTAGTCAAAGTTGTATAACCTAAGGCTCTATTTAGGCTGCTAACAGATAACTTCTACATCTCCAATCATTCAAGTTAAAGTTTTCACTCTATCGTATGCAACAAGGTTATCTTGCTAATACAACTGTAGATGGCTAACATCACGACTTGTTATTTATTTAATTACTCGCTATATCCTGCCTTTATAATGTAATTATCACTTATTATGTATAATGCATAGACTAGCTGGACCCAGTGCAATAAAAGCATCATATTTTCCTTAAAAACGAAGTGTTTTAAATGCTGATTTTTTTACAAGAATATATGCGATAGTCTTGCGGTTTTTCGGTTTGAGAATTCGATCAAACGGAGGTTGTTATTAGATTTACAGATAAAGCCTAAAAGGAAAGGTTAGACACAATAATCAAAAAGTATTTGCAAGACTGCTCTTCGCAAGCGCTGCAACGTCAATTTGCAGAACGAGTGGAACCCGACAGTAAAATTGCTATTACAAGAAATTGCGGGTTTTTGAGGAGAAAATGCGAACAAATGGTGGTTGTTACATAATAAGAACTTTCAAAATTATTTTCCCGACCTAGGAAAAACAACCTTTGTTGTTCTCACTCCCTCTATAAGAAGATAGGTAGAATCGATAAAATTGAAATGTAGTTTTTCAGAAGAATATGAATGACCTTTAATTTTCAACAAAATAGGCTATGTCCCCCAAAAGAGCAGAAACTCATACAACGTTTAAAGATAAAATTTAGGGAAGCATTTGTCACTAAAGACGCTTCTTTCATCCAAAACTTAATTCTTTTATCCAAAACTTCCTTTATCATACATGTTTTATGTATCCGGCACGTTCGAACCTAACTAAAACGTGCCGGCTGAGAAAAATTGTGGATGAAAGACAACTTAGAATTGAATTTATGCGCTGAGACAGTGACTTAATTCTGATAAAAAGCAGTTTGACCAAACACGAGGGTCAACCGTCGCTGTTAGGCATAAAAATTTGACAGATTTTAATCGTAAGTCGTCAAAAAAAGTTAATCGTAAAAACATTTTTGGTGATAACAATTCTCTTACTAACCGAGCGGGAGGTCTGTATGGGAGAGCTTGACCGAGGTCGCCAGTACAGACCGAATGCTGTGAGGTCTGTACCAGCGACCGAGGTTAAGATTCTCCCATACAGACCGACCTAGCTCGGTTAATAAGATGTTTATTACATGACTGTGTCTTATATGCCAATTTTTTATGTTCCTTGTACCTTTTTTTTCTAGACCGGTCTGGATGCCGGTCTAGATGGGAAAATCTAGACCGCTTTCAATATTGATTTCAGCCAATCAAATTCGTGAATTCGGTAGTTCCCAATCCTTGTGAGACAGCCATATAATAATAGAACGATCTTAACTGTTAGCTGTAAATTGGCCAAAATTTTAGGCGTTAGCCGTAAAAGCTATTTTACCGGATGAAACCCTCAAACACTTCGTTAATAAAACGTTTTATTAGTAGCTTGGGATAAAAATCTATTTTTTTCAACTTTATGTCTAAACTATCGAAAACAATTTAAATTAAGCCCGAATATGCGATAGAAAGATAGCTATCAACACTTTAAAATAATATCAACGTGGTGTACTAGCTTTTTACTGCATGCAACATACTTTTACGCGCACAACAGCAGGAAACTCCAACAGATCACGTGTTTTCGGAGACTTTTTTTACTATTTCGATATTCTTCGTTACTGGGTTTCTGTTGTTTTGGAAATAATAATAANCAGGGTTTCCCTCGTATACAGAATTTGTTTAATTGAAATTAGCCTGTATCCGTAATTGGATCCTCCTTTGTCATCCGCTAAGTTGACTTCGGTCGTGTATCTTTAATAGATCCTTAGTTGGGTTTCATATGGGGTTATAGGCTTCCCCTACCCTGTCACCTTGAAAATTAAGTTTCCCGGGAGACCACGTCTCAGATAACGTTAATCACATCTTCGATAGCCGTGTTGCCAGCATGGTTGTCCTGATAGTGTTGTGGTCATCACACCTGACTAGTAACAGGGGGACGTGGGTTCAAATCCCGCTCAGGGCAAATTTTCTTTTCAAACATTTATTCTATTTAAGTATGATTATTTGGGGTGTACAGGGTCAGGGTTTCCCTTGTATGAATTTACATATATATAATTATAACGAACTGGTTCAAGACTTCAGGGGTAGTTCATCGTTTTATTACGACAGCTGTTTCGTATGGTCGAAAATGACCACACTCAGGAGGTAATTTCAACGATAATTTTAATCAGTGAAAATTCGAGGTCGTCAATTATTTCAGTTTGAATTTGCATATTGAGAGGATCTTTCGTGAATAAATTCATATACAAATTGGTTAAATGTTTTCAAGATCATTTTGTGAATTTCTGAGAAGACCGTTCTCGTCAAAGAAAGATTCAAAACTATTCGTGTCGGCTCGTTTTTTCTCCAGACGGAAGAAATAGCGTGTTGGTTTCTCGCCTTCTTCGAACCATTGAGCTCATGAGCGGACTTTAGCTCCTACGGCTTCTTTCGAGATTAGAGAGAACAATTGGCTTTCCAAATCGCTAATTACACCTGGGTTATTTTAGCGATTAGAATGTAAAGCGTTTTTAGCACGGGTTAATTGCTTAGTAATTAGGATTCTTTCCGCATTTGCTGTTGTCTGTTTACGAATACAGTATGAAAAGTTTTGCGGATTTCAATTTTTAGAGCATCCCACCATTCGCGAAGGGAGGCGAATTCGGAGATTTCAAGCTTAAAGTTGTTAATCGATTTTGACATAATGTTTATAAATTCTACATCTGAGAGTAAAGAGCTGTTGAACTTCCAAATTCCAGGACCGTGGTTAGAAGGGTTAATCGTTAATTCAATTTTTACAAAGTCATGATCGGATAGTGCGTATACGCATGGAAGAATATTACATTTTGTTTCTGGGGTTAAGCCTTTAGCGATGAGAAAGCGGTCAATTCTAGATGCCTGCGTATGGTCTTTGTTAGACCAGGTGAAAGTTACTTTGCGCGGGTTGTTTTTGCGCCAAATGTTTGTAAGTGAGAAATCAACACAAAGGGTTCGGAGAAGTTTTTGATCAGTCAATGGGATGGCGGAACAATTTAGTTTATCTAGGACATTGTCCACACAATTAAAGTCTCCCCCGATCACCAGATCGCCTTCGGGGAGAAAGTAATTGTGTAGACGAGAGAAAAAGCTATTGCGGTCTTAGGTAGCATTGGGAGCGTAGATATTGACTAAATTAAGTTTAGAATGATAACATTCGATGAGTAAGCTCAATATTCTTCCGTCTGAGTCAGTCAAAAAACGAATAATTTTGCTTGAGAAGTTTAAAGAAAAAAGAATGGCAACGCAGGTGGACTTGCCAGTCTCAAAGGACCACAGACATTTGCCGCGCCAGAGTTTTTCGAATTCCCCTGCTACTTTTTGCAAGAAACGTGCGTTTCTTGTAAAAGAATGATATCACAATTCAAATGACCTAATTCTTGAATAATTTTCCTGCTTTTTCTGGAGGACCCGAGTCCTCCCACATTTAAAGATGTTATTTTGAGCCTACTCATTGAGATGAATTAAAAACTTAAAATCTATACCTCCTCTTGTATCTAACCCTATGCCTTCCATCATCGGTTTCGCTGTCTGAATAATCGCGGCGGGAAGACCTGTCGCGATTATCCCGGCGGGGGTGCTCCCGATCGTCTCTATCTCTGGTTCTGTCCTCGTGTACCGGTTCACAAGAGCCAATACAAAAGACCAAACAATACACAATAGCTAACCGATAACTCCTAAACAAAGAAAGAACAATGGTAATTCCCTTGTGAACGGGTACACCAGGACAGAACCCTATCTCTTCTTCGTTCATCCGGTTCGTCCCGTCGCTCGTCTCAACGCTATTCTCTCTTTCCGTGGTCTCTTCTTTTCTTGTCTTCGTTTCCCCTTGTGCTCTCTCTATTTCTGTCTTCATCCTTCTTTCGTTGTAGTTGTCATTCCTGTAGTTGCCGTTGTTGCTCCTGCTGTTGTCGTTGCTGTTCCTGCTGTTGCCGTTGTTGTTGTTGTTGTTGGTCTTGCTTTGGTTTTTCCTCCTTTTCCCGTTGTTCTTTCGCTCATCTGGCCCGCTCTTCCCTCTCCTGCTTTTTTTCCTCCTCAGTTTTTGCTGAAGGTGGAGGTGAGGGGTCGAAATTGGCACTAAATAAAACAAAAGAGCAGCTCGATAACTCGTGGTTGTTGGCCAAACAAACAGTGCACTTAGTCGGTTCACCACACTCTCGAGCACGATGGCCAGGGCGCTCGCAGTTAAAACAGCGAAGCGAAGAGCACCCCCTGGCCATGTGGTCGTCGGCGCCACAGTTTCTACAAGTCTTTGGTTGACTAGGGTACCATATCCGGATTATTTCACCGGCCACGCTGATGACAGATGGAATGGCACGGTTAATTGACATTCTGGCGGTTCTTACGCCGTTGTGGATGTGCTGCGCTATTTTATCCCGGCGTAAACTTAACACCTGGCCGTAGTGGCTCAAACGGCTGATTACAGCCGTATCGGGGAGCTCGACGGGCGCTTCATAAATTTTGACCAAATACCAACCGGTTCTCACAGTCGCCGAGAAAAACCTTTAACCCACAGATTTCCACGTGTGAAACATCGAGTGCAACCTCTTTTGCCGCGCGGTTTGTAAAAGAGACGATCCACGATCTGTTTGCAGTCTTCGTTTGGATGTAGATTATAGTATCTATATCTATTTCCACCATCCTAATTCACCTTTTCAGTCATTACTTTTCCTATAGAATGATATCCTATTCTCGTTTTAAAAGCAAAAGCGTGATTTTTGGACAAGGCATATTAACATACCATGGATATAGTTAATTGTTTTCTCTTCGTCATTTCTACTTTTTTACAATAGTCTTTGATTGCATCCCTTTACGGACAATTGCTCCCTTACATGTAAATTCACTTGAAGATGAGTTTTGATATTTCATCTGCGGCCTTTGAGAGCTGTTAGGCTTGCATCATCCGTTTTGCGGCGAGAGGAACGATGATTACTTCGAACAGAATTGCGGTTATTATGGCCCAAGAAGGCTTTTTTCAAGCCTTGACGAAAATTATGATTAAAAATGAAATAAAGGAAGGGACTAATGCAGCCGTTTGAATAAGCGATGAAAATAACCGAGAAAAATAATAATTCTATATAGCAAGGACGATTTTCTGGACGCCAATGAAAGATTGTAATGTATATTGATACGTTGACGGGAAGCCAGCAACAGATGAAGAAGACTACAACTACTACCACCATTCTTAACACGCTCCGGTTGCGTCTAGCGACCCTTTTCTTGTCTTTGAGAGACTGGTTGCCTGGGAACTTTTGCCTTCGTAGAGTATTGATAATTATACTGTATACAATTACCAAAATGGCAGCAGGAAAGAAGAAAAATATCGTTGATAGAAATAAAAAGTAGAACTTTGACGCTTTGACATGATCAGCGAATGGATACCAGTTGTACTTGCAGAACTTATCGTCGACAAGTTTATAGGCGTAAAAGTAGGGCAAGTGAAGGAATGCTCCCAAACACCAAGTCGCTGCCAAGGCCACCCTACGAACTCGTTTTCCACTCATGAGACCAGGTTTCATTGGGTACACCACGCCGTAAAATCGATCAACAGCAATGGCCACCAAGCTGAGAATGGATACGGCTGTTGACACATCTTGAATGAAATGGTCGATCTTGCAAAGTATTGAGCCCACCATGCCACCGATTAGCCATCTGCCAGGTACTGAATATAGCTCCAAAACGAGGCGAGGAAATACAAAAACAGCGAAGAGGATATCAGACGCTGACATGTTTACTATGAAATAATTTATGGTCGATCGCATGTTGCGGTTTTTGAAAATGACGAAAATAACAAGGGAGTTTCCAAACAGAGAACCGAATGCAATAAAACAATATGCAAATGTTTTCCATATTGTATCAGTTGATGAGTGGTCAGGTAAACCACAAACATCGGACGCGTTACTTGTAGTGTCGTTGGAAGACATTTTTGGCAACAAATAACCTCTTAATGTGAAGATTCTCGAAGAAGAATATCAGATCTTGACAAAATCAAATGAACAAAAGCCTCGCCGAGCCCACAGCTGTTGAATACTAACAGCGATTCCTCTTAAATGCTTAGTTTTTCTGCCAAAAGATAAAAATAGTAATTTTCATTAGCTATCTGAAATTAATTAAAATTCGCAATCTAGAGCTATTTATCAAATGAAGCAATCTGTAATCAATTGAAAACGATTGAAGGGGAACAGGAGCTACAAAAATGTACTAAAGACGCGACAAGCCCTACATATGTAATTTGGTTATATCAACTAAGTTGAAATTTTAAATTGGCCACCGTAGAGAGTTAAAAAGCTGACGTTTCGAGCGTAGTCCTTTGTCTTCCTCATTCGCTCTGATCCGACGAAGGGCTAACGCTGGAAACGTCAGCTTTTTAACTCTTAACAGTGGCCAATTTACAATTTCAACTTAGTTTATATGACCAAATTATCTTTTTACCCCCACCGAAGCAGCACCACAGTCTCTTTAGGACTTACCCCCCTTAGGCCATTCTTCTGCCGTGCGATCCCTGCAAACACAATGAATTGGTTTGTTTTTTTTCTTTCAAGCCTAAACAATGTTCGGTTTCCTTCACTTGGGAGCTAATAAAAGAACTGGTGAATTAACAGCTAATAAATGTTTTGAACAATGGTTTCTTAAGCTGTGCATAACTCAGTAGATCAACGCTTGACATCTATGTTGAGTTATTCAAATAGAAAAGAAGGAATTTTCGCCCAATAAACAAACTCCGAAACACTGAATGACACATTTTGGTTAATTGATGCGTCCACAAAGTTTAGAGGCATGCTAAGTGGTTTTTCTTTTACAGTAATTCATGTTTCCCATAGGTTTGACGGCTAATATTGCTTCTTGGCAGAAAATGTTTCCTCCTATCCGGAACTTTCGCAATGTAATTGATTCAAATGATTAGTTTCTCTTGGAATGAGAAAATGTTGTTGGATTAGTAAAATAAACTAAACACTGACAATAGCGGGCTAATTCATAGCAGCAGTTCTAAACCATTTAAGAGCAGAGAGACACCCTGAGAGCATCACTTCCTCATTTCATTTTTACCCTGACTTCCCGTCAGCATCATATTGCCTTTAGTCAATACTGATGCCATATCATGAGAAGACATTCGAGGATAGCTTATTACAAACGTCGAATTAAAACTGTCTTGCGCGAGTGCAACCGTTTCTGTCAATAATTCTGATTTAAGTCAACTTTATAAATTTTAATCGCTTTACTTGACGCACGCAAAGTGTCTATCACCTAAGGAAAATTTATGTTCAAGCCAAAATTGAAACTTTAAAGGGATAGATGGCGAATAATCTTGATTTTTTTATCCAACGGGTGGACAGATACGCTATAGCTATAGCTTATAGCCTCTCATCATGTTGTGTACTGAAATATTGTCCTGTCCAAATAGTGCTTTTATTGGTAGAATTTAATGAAATATGTTAAGCGACTAAAAATAAGGGTCAACATGGATAATTAAAAACATATCGCTGTTCCATTTTGCCGATTTTGAATGATTTTTGGAAACAAAGGTTTTGTTTTATCTAATGGAAACACTACATTTACCTCTTGATCGCCATGAGAACTCAAAATCGTCACGTTTTAAAAAAAGAAACCAAAACAAAGAAAAACAGAGGAAACAAAACAATAAAAGGAAAAAGTTTCTAAAGAGACTGTGGTGTTGTGTTGGTGGGGGGTAAAACAAGATGGTTCAATAATTCCCAAAAGCGTACCGGGTCGTTGCCAGAAAAGCGAAATTGAAACAAAAAGTACAAAGATATCGGTTTATCTGAAATTACATGCACATTCACTTTCGAATTTTGATGCCGATGCCTTTTGTTGAACAAAATAATCATAATAATTACTTTTATATCATCGAACAAAGACAACACGATGTTTTGTACGCACCGGTCCGATACTGACAATTGAACAAGCCCTGTTACTCTCTTCGACAAGGCGTTGGAAAGAAAAAAAATATATTTATATATAACAAGTTAACAGGCTTCGAGCCAACATAGACGCCGCGCCAGAAGGATCCAAAAGGATTGAAAGTCCAAACCTCGATAAATAATAGATGAAGTAATGTGGCACACGAGGACGGACAACTTCGAGTGAAGGAAGACATATACTCTATAAAAAAAATCTGAAAAGTTTAATAATAAACGTTTCGGTCTGACTCCAATGCATTGATCAAGTGAAGGCGATCGTAAACAATTCAGGTAACATCGAGAAACTTTTAATTACCAAAGAAGCATATTGGAGCGCACAGTTGTTCTCTCTGGCACCTTTCAGCTTGAATAGGCGCCAGGAATTTCACTCCGAAAAAAGAATAAACTATGATTAAAGTGGGGAATTTTTCTAAATTGGGCGGGCATCAAAGGTCCCGGTCTCAGCTTTGATTGGGAATTTTGGTACAATTCTCGCCTTATTTCAACGCTGGTTCCTTAACATTTTTAGTGGATTCAACGATTTTTTAATTTCTATGTTTGTTTTATAAACTATCAAAGTGCTCAATAGTTGGACTAGAGCAGTAGATAATATTATCAGCAACGAATTGGGTTATTTGGTCCAAGACATTTAATTGCTACTCAGAGTTTCATGCTCCATCAGGAGCAATCATCAGGCAACTGCCTGAAAAACAGTTACATTCAAAGTCATTTGAAAAAAAACGGTTACACTCAAAATAATTTGGGTATATCAACAAAGTTGAAATGGTAAATTGGCCACCGTAACGATTACAAGAGCTGACGTTTCGAGCGTTAGCCCTTCGTCAAAGTTTTAAAAAAACGTGTGGCGCGCGCTACGTGCGGCACGCGCTAATAATGTGATGACATTTTTAGCAGAAATTTCCTAGAGTGTCTACAGGACGATGCTAATTCATTTCGGTTGTTTAAGGTTGACATTTCGGGCTTACACAAAATAAAATACTTCTCCCACAAACACAAATTACAACTCTTAGCGACGTTTGAGTAAGATCTTGCCCGTTTTACTTTGCGCCATTTAATGTTGAACTCAATGTTTCGGTCTTTCAGGTTCCAAATATGCTTACTAAGCTCAGTTGCGTTTCTATAACGTTCATTACGGAATGAGCAAATGTGGTTTCGATATCTTAGTTTGAATGGAGTACAAATTTTGAATAAGAGTAAAACACACTGTATTACCCTTGATGATCTAACCTTAAGTTTGGGTGGCCCGTTATTTGGTTTTTAAGTGAGAAGAATCTGATGACTTCCCGTCCGTCTTATCATTCTTCCAAGTTATACCGTTATGATATATGATGAAGACTTTTTTCATCTATAACCGCGATAAACGAAATTCAGTTAAAGCACATTTTGGCCTTTTTGTCATCGAAGGATATATTGTATTGTATATCTATAGAATTTATAGAAATGAAAGGAACTATAAAGCGCAGTAAATTAGTTATATTCATTAGGAATCACACTTGTATGTCATCTGTACTTACCTATATTTCTCTTTTAAATTTTTAAGGCACTCATGTTTGCTTACAGATATTGATCTTCTTTTAAAATAAAATTCACAGTTAAGAGAGTGTTGCATTCAACGGGGTGAAAAACTAAAATCAGTTGTAGTATTGGCAAGTGGCAGAGGTTTTCCCTTATCCGTGAACAAGATTGCTCCAATTTCCGACTTATCAAAGCAACCAAATAAGAAAGTGTTCGGTAATTAATGAAAAAGCTAGTTGATATTAGATTTAAAGTTTTCACCGCCTCATTTAAATTCATCAGAACTCGACCGCCCGGGAAATTATCGACCAGCAACGTTTTGCGTGAAGTAAAGAGTTTGTACACTTAACGGACCAAGATGGATAATGAACAAAATGTGTCGTTCACTCTTAATTCCTCTGAAGACCCATGCAACTCGGAGTCTTTATTTGGCGGATAAAGGTAAGCTTGGCCAAACTTTGACTTATGCTGCTATTCTCTATTTAAGCTTGCTTGAAAATTCCCTCATAACGATAGTCCGTTGCAGGGAGAAGAACTTGCGCACAACAGTCGACTTCTTTATTGTCAACATGGCGTGCTCCGACATTCTGTTCGCCATAACAGTCGTACCTCGCAGGATAACAGAGATACTCTCCAGTCCACTTGAATGGCACGTGCATGGATTCCTCGGAGAAGTCCTCTGCAGGATTACAGACATCGTCCAAGATGTGTCCACTGCTGTTTCCATTGAGAGTTTAGTTTTGATAACTGTTAATAGATTTCAATCGATCATGTTTCCTTTGAGACCCAACTTTGTAACGCCTTCGATAAGAGGCATGCTCATTGTCCTTACTTGAGTTGTGGGATTTGGATTCCACGCACCTTACATCTATGCCTGGCGCCTATCCTCTCATGGAAATAAGACATTTTGTATGTACAGCCTAGCACCGTTTTATGAACAGGGAAATGCTGTCAAGGAAAATTTCCTTGTTTTGTCTTTTTTCTTGTTCATTTTCCCCATGGTAATGATGATCATTCTATATTCTCTCATCATTTTCAAATTGCGACAATGCAAAGTGCAGGTGATTAATCATTCACACAAACAGAAGAACTCTTGGAACAGGCGCACCAGGAATGTTCTTAGGACTGTCATCGCTGTTGATGCTGTTTTCGCTATATCCTGGTTTTCATTCAATATTTCCATCTATGTCATTCTCCTCTACGGGGATCTAAGCCCGTCGTGCTTTGAAAGAACCATGGTTCGCTTCATCCTCATATTTGCTCACGCAAATAACGCCATCAACCCGTACGTCATCTTTGCTTTTAGCATAAATTACCGAAGTAGACTGAAGGCATTACTTTGCTCTCTGAAGATAAGACCACAAGTAAAACGAACACAGGCAGTTTCCCTCTTCGATTTGAACCAAATATCGGAAATTAATCTGGGCTGCCTGGATGGAAAACCACCTGAAACTGATCTCCCTGATGAATATATGGATACCAGGCTTTAAGCCGGACTCTCTAAACTGTAACTTATCTTTTAAAACAAAATTCAAAATTCAAAATTTGAATTTAAAAATTTAATCAGTATCAAAGTGAAATTTAGACGAGAAGACCAGTTGGTCAGCTGATACAGCTCTTCCAGGGGAAGGTTCAAGGATTGGAACTGAATATAGCAAGGAATTCAAGTCTTCGACGAAAAATCATTCTTCTGTTCATGTTTTAGCTTTCCAGAACACTTTCACTTTTCTTCTTAAATGAGGTTTATACGGGTGAACGGTATAATTAGTTGAGACACACGTTAGATTTTATAACTATAGTTAACACAATCAAATACTCTTACTGTATAGAAATAATGTCGAAATGATCAAAACTTTGCAATGAAAGTACTTAGCTGCGCCTAGTTTAGACTGGTTTGACATAGTTTCGCGTATATAACTTTCTGGCAGAAAAATTATATAATGTTATAGTAAGAAATAGGATCTTATTCAAGTCGACGGGATGTAATGTGAATTGTACCAGATTTCTGGGAAAAATTGAGGTAGAAATTGTTGTACATAAAAATGTCACGCACCTTTTTCGTCTTTTAATGTTTCATTCAAAGTAATATCATTTTATCTCTAAAAATTATTGCATGTAAGTAACAAACGAAAATGGCCATAAAAATAGAAAGTGGACATTGCTGTTTAATAGTGTATAATCGGCATAGTTGTACAACATTATAAACATCCTTTTTGTTATTTATTGGATTAATTTGTAGTTTCTATTTATAGTCTTACAATTCATTTATGAGGATGTGAAGACTGGATATGACTAAAAACCTTCTGGAAGGCAAAATCATTCCATTTTCTCGGGTATAACAAATTGTGCACAAATACCTTATCATGGACTTACTTTTAATTATTTGTATTACCTCAAAATGAGTCTATCCTCTCATAACTTAGAAATAGTAAAAATCTCAACATGAAGAAAATGTAGCCAAGAGAAGAAAGGTCCTTAACATATTTTTTAATAGAAGCTCTCAGTTGACCGGCATGTTTCCCATAAGCGAGGGATTTCAACAATCCTGAGTCAACTCGACGGAAAAGGGTGCAAAAACCTCCTATTCGTGGAAAATACAAATATTTGCTCTACAGAGTTCAAGAAGATTAATGAAGAGTGGAAGGCTACTTTTACCGTTCGCTGCCGTTCAAAGAGCGCTGTCAAAGTCACGGCATTAAAAATCTGGTTTCCCTGACGCCAAATTTCAAGTCGAGCTTCACTCTTAACTTGCCACGTAAAGTAGTCATAACGGATTCATTCATACAATTCCATTCACCGAAAGCTATTTGCAATAAATACTGAGGATAAATACGTTCGAACAAACGGAAACAGTTCCAGAATAAACAGAATAAAACTGAATTCTTGAAATCATTGTGATATTGTTATCTGTTATAAATATAAATGATATTTCAAAGGTCTTGCATAGGTGATTTTGTGATACAAAGTAGACCTGAAACGAAATGTATTTAGACTCACCTTAGTTCCTTCGAACATTTCAAACGAACAAAATTCTTTCTTTGGTGATTCCCATCCGCACACCTCTTTTAAGCGTGCGCGCTTAGATTAACCACAAAGTCATATTTCCCTGATCGCGCCTCAAATAAGCTGTCTGTTTAAAAATATTCGTGGATTTGATTAAAAGCTATTAGAAACAGCTCAACCTGCTTTTTGTTCTTTTGAATGGGCCGACAGTGTGCAAAATTGAGTTAATTTTTTCTTTAATTGAATTGTCCGCGAACTTTCCGTTCTTGGATGAGATATTTATGACAGAACAATGGATTACTTAAAAACGATTAAATATTCTTTGTTGGAATTAATAAGCACGGACCGTCAATAGTATAAAACCAAGCAAAAAAACAAAAAATTCAGCACTCTTTTAGTGACTTATTGAGTAGCAATTCCAGTCCAGCAGTCTACGAATACTACGCAAACATCGATCCTTAAAGCGGGAGGGCTAACATGTGTTTATTTTTTTTTTAACCTGTCATTTGTTATGTGCGGAAAAATCCATAAACATGTCAACGATACTTTAATTGCACCGTTCCGTAAAACACAACACTTTATTATTTGTTTACCCCCACTGTATTATAGAAATGAAGAAAACAACAAATCAGCAATGTCACTTTTGACTTTGTAGTTTCACAACCCGAGAATCTCGCTCGTGTTCTGCAACTAGATATAATAGGGACCTAAAGAAACCACGAAGACGACGGCAAAGAGGACATGGAAAAACAAGAGATCTACTTGGCAGAACAATAGCTCAGTACGTGCGTTTTGAAACTTTGTACATTTCTTAGCTGTCCTATGCAAAACAAAAACGTGAAATTGCCAAAATTTGCGTCGTCTGCGAACCGAAACCGCGGCGGCAAATTATCTTAATTTCCATTCGGAACTCAAAGGCTACTTCATACGTCAAGCCGAAGTTGAGCTATGGCCCTGTATGAGACAGTAAGCTCGTGCAGCCATTTTAGAAATTCTAACTAAGAGTAGAAATTAATCTTTTAATCGAAGTCTTCCTTGACGTTGCCGTCGTGGTTTCTTAAGGTCCCTATTAGCACAAAATCGTGACGCGGTACAAAGAAAGTCGCCAAAATGATAGCTTTAAAACGACCGTAAGCGACAAGGCGGCTACAGAGCGAGGGTAGGGAGAGTTAACACGCTATATTCCTCCTTTTAATTTTTTTCTATCTCTTTTTTCGATAATTTTTCGTTTTTTTTTTACAGTACACGCTTACGATTGAAATTCAATCTTAATAGGTTCGGTATTTTCGCTAATGACTTATAGACCCCAAAATTGCACNTGCATACTAGGCTAACGGAACGAAGATATCACGAAAATTGTAAATGATCTTCTCTTCTGTAATTTAACGCACTGTACCTTTCTCCACTGAGTTTTGGCTTCTAAAAATCATAGACAAAGGAGAACTGCATGGAGAAGGAAAGCGTCACTCACGCAATGGAGCGGCCCTGAAGCAGGCACTCTTTTGAAGATTTAGAAGCATTCGAACCAGCCTTCCAATAAAGGAATGAGAGACAGTGGCCCAATGACCTTCTAGAAGATACAGTTTGTATTTGACCTATTGTCCAAGGGTTAAATTGAAATCTATCAACTTTTATTGCCCAGTTAATTACACAAATTGTTTAAAATTTAGACAGTTTAGCCACGCAATGCACAGGAACCGAAGTTTAAGGGGCCTGGAAAAGCAGCAAAACGTAGAGATTGTCGCTAAAATGAAATAGTACCAGCGTAAATTATCAAAACAGTCCCACTTGATTACGAGTCAGTGAGTGGTTAAAATACTCATAACAAATATAATATCTAAGTGTGAATAGGTTTGTAAAATACGTAAAGACCAGAACACTCAACTCTTTCCGCTCTTGTGACTCGTAAATCCGCTGAGGGACTTGGGAAAGCTTAATGCTTTTACTGTAATTGCTATCGTACTCAGCCCAATGGCAGTCGTTTAAATGTTGTTTAAAGCTAATCTTATCAAACTATACCGTGTAAAAAGAATACTGTTATGTTCCCGTTTCTCGTTCAAGAGATATAATATGAACATTTTCTTTATGGGGTAAAGCACCTAGGTGTCTAAAAGGAATCTAAAGTGAGTTATTTCAAAGCAAATTGACCGGTTGACACCGGTCAAAACAGCGCTTAAGTTTCTTTTTTCCGGGCGAGAAGTGTTGTGTTATTTTTACTTCGTGTCGAGAAACCTCTTCCATCATCAATAGGAATGCCGATTGTAGAAGCAGTGTAGTTTACTTTCATATGGTTTTCTAAAATTGCGCATACATAAAAGATTTATGCCTGTATCTTAATGATTAAAAACTATCGAGATATCAAGTTGAAGGACAAAGATAAGGGAAAACCTCAAAAGGATTATTCAACTTTTCCAGACTTTTGAAACTCGAAATTGTAATATTTACCGAAGAAGAGTAAATAGCGCAGAAATGAAACATCGAATTATTATGAAGCTATTACGAAAATATAACATATGGAGCTTCAAGCTTAATGTTCTAAGAATTTTCTCTTCAGAATTTGCTGAGCCTGACTATCAATTCAGACTCTAAGCCGCTTAATGACGCATCTGCGTAATACAGATAAGTCGACACGTTCACCCAGTGGTCGATTAAAGATGACCTTAAAGCTTTTGTTATCATTCGGCAAAATCTTTTGAAGGTGCAGACGACAAAATTCTCTTAATTATGCTTAATGATATAAAATGAAAAAAGGGGCCGTGTAGGGTTACACTGTATTATCAATTATACCAAAGGGTTTCCTTAGGCTGTGGAGCCAAATGATTTCATTCGTCATGATTTGTAGTTGTTGACTGCTCGTAGTTTGCAAGACTATTAAAACGAAATTACATAACAGAGGCTGGGAAACTAATTTACCCCTCAAAACAACTTGAGACTCCAATTACGGAGTGTTTTTATATACGAAAAGTCCTCAAGAAAAGCACTTTGTACAGACTGCTCAGATTCTAAAGAAAACTATATTTAACAAAGCCTATAACTAAACGAACAACACTAAGTTGTCTTGCTCAATACCGATATTGCCTCGTGAAGAAAGCGGCAAAACATTTTATTAAATAAAAAATGGGTCTTAAACTAGAAAAAAATAATTTTTACCTCAAATATCTCTCGTTTTAGCCTTGGAGGAATCAACTAGACAACACGAAAAATCTCACGTATAATCAAAGTTTGTTTCCTACATTCGTTTTTCATGATCAAAGCGACACCGTTGTCGCTTCACATTGCCCTTTGTCTAACTGATGTCGGAAAATTTTCCCGATAGAAATTGTTGTATATAGTCGTTTTCCTTCAGTTATTCTATAGAGCTTTTCCTAAGCGGTTTCTTTACACCTCACTCGGCATAAAAAATTAATTCATTTCCCGAAGTGGGTTCAAGTATCGCCTTCTTCCACGAATAGTTTTTCATAACACAGTAACACCCGTAAACAGTCATTTAACACGAAGAACTTACCAACTTAAAGCCACCGAATTCAGTTGAAGCCAACTACGCATATATCATGTCCACTGCTCCCACTTGTACCGGTAAAGCAACTGACAAAAAGAAATAGTTGTATCAGCTATACGGATCTAAGGTTCTGTAAATGGTTTAATTGGTTTACATCCTCTCGTCTTGTTTATAGTCATTTACATCATATAAGGGTTGTAATAGTTTTCACATTTGATCAAGACTCTTTTTGATCTATCTAACCTGAAACTTGCTAAATTAAACATGTCTTTCACTGCATCGATAGGGCTTACTTTTACACTCCAGTCCATCATCATGGTTCATTCACCCTTTAAATCGCTACCTTGCATTTTGTTATTCTTCGTGCAAAGGTGTTTTGACTATGTGCGTCATTAGGCTGGTTTGATTGGATAGTAACTTACCTTGTTGATTTATCTATTTTCCCAGTGTCAATAACTGCTGCACCTAAATTAGTTTTGGTTACTATGATACTGGAGCAGTTTTCGTGAAACATCTTTGCTTTTATCTCTCGCTTCTACTTCAGTTAGCAAAACTATGGTTACTAATGGTAGATTGTACTCCATCTATTCATTTTTTACCTGTGTATTCCGTTGCTCCAACTCTTTCGAAAAACCAAGGTGCTCTGACCTTAGGCGTCGCAATCTACTTCAAGTATCAGTCAGTGAATTGAAAACACTTGCTTATCCTTCGCCAAGTAACACTAAGAGACAAATAATTCAGAGATTCTTGTTGAGCTTGTCTAAACTGACTATGTTATGATGCTCAGCAGTCAAGCAAACCCACATCGGCTTAGTTATCCTGGTTCCTCTGACGACAGTTTAAACTTGATTTCGATCTGGCGGGCGATTTGGATAGATTTTAGTATCTGACACGAACGATGTGTACCCTTCAAATGGCCATGCGTCATTACCGCATGACTTTAGGAGACCACCCAGCTGGAAAACACCGCACTTGCCACTGCTAATGGTTAATTCTAAAATTCTCAAATAATAATGAGCTCTTTATGGAATGTATTATTAGAATTTAGGACTTTCTTTCCATATGAAGACAGAGTAACTTGGAGAATTGATAACAGATTTCGTGAAGACAATGTGAGGTGAAGATCATTGTCAATCTTTTCAGGGTAGGGCGTAACATTCGTTTTTGGAAAACAACAAAGAATAACAATTTACTTCTCACAAGTTTAATACAATGATGCGGCCGAAGGGTGCAAACTGATCAGCTCGGAAAACTTATCTTAATATATCACAAAATGGTTTCGCTAAAGAGGAGATGCTTATCACATCTTTGGATAGAAATAGATAAAGGAAAAGCTTACGGAAAACCTTGCTTGCAGGAATGAAGTACATGGATGCAAAAATGCATCCAAATGATAATTAAAGTTTACCTACGTTCCTGTTGAAAGAATTTGTTGCCGCGTAGCGATGAATCTTGTATATGTAACTCGGCTGGGTCTAGATTAGGACTTATGAATAAGCTGAACTGTTAGTCTTTTTATAATCAGAGCGATTACGGCTCTTGTCAGTCAATAGGCATTGTTCAACGTACGCGTTGATGTGTATGGAAAAAAATAAAATTGCCTCTGATGGATGTTGAACAAACGAACCAAAATGTTGTGGAGTTATAATAGTTATCGACAGAAAATATCTGTAGACTTATTTGAACCGTTTTAATTCACTTCAGACTCGCCTGAAACAATTCCTGATAATCATCATTTGCATAACACTAATGACGAAAAACAAGTTGAGACTATGATATTAACTTTACTGATTCAGTGTCAATCACTCTTCTTTCATGATCCATAATTCATTTGCTTCTGAATCTTGATTACTTCTTAATATCATGCGTGCTCATGCTAAATTTTGAACGACACAGACTGGGTTCTCGACTTAGCGCTCCAATCATGGCATTTCCCGTCAGAAAAAGTCGTGAAATTTCGTGTCTTCTTCATTCGCAGTGGAACTCTTCAAACACGCCAGCCGCGTTTAAACCCCCTATCTGTGGAACTATATATTTATATAACAAGTCTTGGAATCCAGGGTTAATTTCTCAGACTGTATTTGAATCGCACCTAAGATAAAATGAATAATTCGCCTTCAACTGGGAAAATAGGTTTTTCTTCTCTCAATTAAGTTGAAGACTTATTCGGCTGAGAGAAACTAACCCTGAGCAGATTGTGACTGCTTGCCGGGATGGAATTTTTATGAATTCCATTAATAACGATGGAGCCGCAGGGGCTGGAATAAAAACACTCATGGCACTTGAAAATTTTATCCTTCTACCCTCATCCTACCAGTTATTCGTAATAGAAACGGTACAACAATGAGCTAGCAATATAAATCATGATCATAACGCGGTGAAGTGATCAGGGTTGAAAATAGCCTGGTAAACCGTATAAGTCATTAACTTTTTGGTTTAGTATATTGTTAGACTTGATTTCATATTTCTGAGTACAATGGAAAGAAACCAGCTTGAGAATTGAAAATTAAACACGATATATTCCAGGGGGAGGAAATCTGGATAAAGTTAGAACGAGATATAGAGTCAAAACACTAAGCAATTTGTAAATGTGCCTAAACAAAATCAGCTCGACGACAACTTGACAGCTTGCAAACTCAGTTTGTAGAGTGCGCAATGGCTAAAAAACATACAATATTTTTAAGAGCTGGATATTTAGCATAGAAGCAAAAGCAAAGACAGTCTATTCTATGACATTTGTGAAAACAAATTTGAACTTGAAATAAATGAACTTTACTAGTCGTACAAGCGCAAATGGATAAACAGTCCCTTGTCCATTTATTTCGAATACCAATAGGTCCTATCCTCAGGTGTAAGTTACTGTTTGTTGAAAGTGTTCAACACTATATCGATGTTTGAACAGTATTTGGTAAGAAACGTTGAAGTTCCATCCTAAGTAGTTCAAACTAGTTACCCATAACAAGAGGAATTCAATGTGTGTTCTTTCTAAATCGCAACGGTGTAGTTTTGATAATGGCACACTTCCACTTTCTTTTCAGATTTCCGTCTAATTTCTGCAGAGTTCAAATTCATTTCTTCTGGGAGACAAAAAAATGGAACTGACACCCACTCATTCCTGCTCAAGTCACTTGAAACCCAATAGAAGTTCATGCGTTCCCAATAGAAGTTCATGCGTTCCTCTAAATAGCTAACCATGCACCGTTGAAAGTCAGCAATCAGGAAATTTTTAAGAATACTGAAAAATTTTTTAGTTGCGTTCTCAAATAAACCAATCCTTCGAACAGATAAAATAACACCGTTGAGCAGGTGAGGAAACACTTACATTGTAAAAATAACGACTTCTCACTTTTAATTACACAGAATTACGTGTATTGAATTTAACAGCCAGGATGCGTGATTTCCTATTTTCTCAGACAAATGATATTACAGTACGTTCTAAGTTTGACAGAGAAGATAATTTAAGGCTTTGCGAGCTTTTAGTTCACTGTGGCGATTTAGACGTTCGCAACATGTGTCTAAGTTCATTTCACCTTACCGCAGATTAAGCCTATTGCGAAGGCCAGTTACTTTAAAAGACCGTCATCTTTCATAACGCTGATATTTTTATAGAGCTCGCTTAATTTGTTGTTCAAATATCCAACACGGTTACCTGCTTTAATCTAAGCCATCTAAGGCAAACAGTAATAATTATTCTTTAGTGGTGAAACACCTGTAAAAATTGACTGCGGCAAACTGACAAATGAAGTATTCTTGGCCTCAATCATCGTAAAGAATTTTCTTTAATACAGAACGTCAAACAGGAAAAAAATAGATAAAAGTTGCGCAGATGAACTCCTAGCTAAACTTTCCTCGGCAGTTACGAAATATTTTTATTAATGAAAAGGATTTTGAAACTTCATAAAATCAATAAAACCCAAAGCAAACAAAACGGATGTCACGTCTCTGTAAATATATCCTCTTGCGTAAGTGACAACTAAAAACAATTTCCTGTCATGTGGAAAGCCACTCATTATAAAAAGAGTACTTACTGTTGAAAATGAACAAATAACGTTGGCTACGACAATGGAAATCAAGATCTTTCCATTGCTCCTGTGTGCCTTGATTCTTCTTTGGACAACAAGAGAAGTCCACGGGTACACTTCTCCGTGGACTCATGGAAGTGGCGGCGATAACACGGGCAGGAGGAAGAAAACTGAAATTTGGGCGAAAGTGAGTTCTATTTCACCTGCTTCAAAATGAGTTCCCTTACCTTGTCTGTTATTGTGAGTTCGATGTAACTTACTTTGAGTTCAAATACTGTAGCTTTCCTATTAGGTGACGTAAAACAACAGACGGTATTTCTCCCTTAACTTGTAAGCCAGCGTTTTTCCTGTCTCCCTCCGCTTAACTTGAACATGTCAGCGTTTTTTTCTGTCTTATAATTTATTAATCGCTCGAACAAGATAGAAGTAAACGCAGATCTAGTGCAGTTTATTATTGTTTTGACTTCAGTCTCCGGCAACGCAAGGATTGCCTCACCATCATCTGTGGGACACCAGCAAAGTTTATTAAACAGAAAAAATGATTTGAACTAAGAACCAAAAAAAAGTAAAAAAGAAAAAAAAAAACTTATAGGAGTTGACTTTTCTTACTCTCTGCTTGTTTCCATACCTTACAAAAGGCTCGGGTATAATGTAAACTTCAGTAATTGCTTTGGGTTGGAAAAGAGACGGCATTCCTGCTTCATATTGTCAAATTTGAACCAATTGCAGACTTGTAAAATAATTCTTAGCCTTAAGGAAATTAAAATACGCCAAGAAACGGCTGAAATATTCGTGACTCAGGGCTCTTTATGATAATTGACCACACCGGTCAAAGACAAGAGACGTTAAGGAATTTAACCAAAAAAGAACTAACACCGCATGAGAAAAAGATATCTGCTCAATGAGAGCTTATGCCCTGGGTGGGCTCCATAATCCATAATTCAAAGCAAGATTAATAAGATTTATGATCTTCAACAAGTCCTCGCAATTCAAACTTAATTATTCATTAAAAAAGGCATCAATCCTTTTAAATTTATAAAAGTCAATCGTGTTTGTGTATCAATTCATTGTATTGTTCCGTACCTGTTTCTGATATTATTCTTTGTTTCTACATGAGTCTTCGTGCGTTCAATGCAACAAAAGCTCGAAAATGAAGTGATCGGGTCTTATGAATTTTCAGTGCTCTTCTCTTTGAGAAGGTTAATTATCATTTTACTTTATCTGTTATCTAGAGCAATTTTGCAAGAGCACCAGGGTGTACAATCGACTTGTGTTTGATTGCAAAGAGGCTTGGCTGTGACAATGATGTCAGACGAGACGAAGCAAATGCAGAAATATGATGTCACCCGACAATAATTTAGTTCATTTGAATTTGAGCAATAAAAATCGGCTAAGAGATCGTATTTAGTCAAAACGACGCGCAGGCAATCTGTCATTTACATTAAGAAGAGTTTAAATAAAATGAGACACAGAAATTTGAGCTTAACAATTTGTAGAACTGTGTGTTAACTTGAACTTTTTGTGGAATAATAGAATCACAGTGGCAACATTTAAAGGTTAATATAAATTCAAAACCTCTTATTCTAACCCAAACACTAAAGGGTACATTTTAACTTCTTTAATTCATTTTGTATTTTAATCATGATCTAATTGGAAATTCAAGCTTACTTAGATGGAGATAGCCTTCGAGATTTTAAACGCAACTGATTTTCTCCAAAGGCAAAGAGAATTTATCGATGCACAGAAGCACAGTAAAAAGGACCGGTGTTGGCAGAAAGCGAAAACAAGGGAACTTTTCTAGGTTTTGAGAAAGTGAAAGCCCATTTGATATAATTGTTTAGTGTTTATGCCAACTTAAAGTATGATGAAATACATTTAAGAAAAATGGATCGACAAAACGAAAACTATTTACAGTCCACCACTCCAGGTATATTTCCTTGCCTACACGGTGTACCTCCATTGATCAGAATTGCGCAAAACAAGGGAAGGTAATAGAAAAAAAAAGAAACAATGAGGAAAAACTAAGCAAAGGAGAAAAATATAATCACGTACAGAAATAAAGATAAAAAAAATAACTCAATAAAAAAAGGAAAAACATATATCAGTCAAAAGTCGTTAAACAAATGGGGGCTTTTACTTTCAGGATATCATTACCCCCGTTACTGAGCTAAATGAGGGAAACTCTGTTTACCCATAATTGGACTAAGAACTGTCCTGGAATATGCTATTGCTACTTTTCACAAGAAGTATTGCAGGTTGATTTCTGTATTTCAAAATTCGTCGTCAATACGTACAACATAACAGTATCAACAATATATCAGCGTACAATGAAGTTAGCTAACAAGGAAGTTTTTTTTAAAATTTAGCGCAGAATGCAGAAGGCAATTGCATAAACCGACTGAATTTCATCTTTCTTTCGAGTAGTTCTAATGAACCTTCGACGGTCTAGATATTCCGCAAAATCGACAACAACAATTTCGATAAGCATATGTTGTTAACTTTATTCTTTTGGAGAGAAATTGCTAGCTTCAAAGCTGCTTCTACTTTAGTGAACTGGTTGAAACTGAAACGCAGCACTTCTTCAATCGAAAAGTGCTCTAACGCATTTTATAAATTCAATTGTCTATTTACATGTAGGCTCCATCTTATGAAAATGATTAATGTCTAAGTAACCTACCTTTCAATAACAGGCAGAGCTGAGCGATCAAGAAAGAGAAATGCAATTCTTTAGTCTTGTCCTAATGTTTTCCCCTCGGTTTGAATCGAAGAATCGGTAAAACAAACAACGAAAAACAGACCAATTATTCATATCAAGGCGACAAATGTCTCTTGACCCAACAGCTGTTAAGCTGCAGCTGATTAACTTTCTTGGCATAATGACGAGCGTCACTAAAACGAAGCAAAACTCAAAGAAAAATACAGATAAACTCCCCTACTGTTACTATCTCCGAAGAAAATTCAAATCTTGAGATTTACCATATCATGTGGTACACTATGGTTTTTCAACTTTTCCTATAATCAATTGACCGAGGCCCTGAATAGAAAGCAATATGCATTTAAACTCGCTTTTGGGATTTTATTTACATACATCATCATTAGTTCAACCAAAAGTGCAGGCGTTATGTAAGTGAAAATCGTTCCTTTCCACATAAGGGGGCCATTTTGCGTCACTTACTAATGACTTTGAAAGTTGCTAACCGTCACGTCATTTGTAATGCATCTTCCGGTTGATTAGTTCTAAGTTTTGTGTTTTGGACTAATGGCAAAATTTCCCATAACTGTAGAAAGACTGTTTCTATTGTCATGATGAGCGATCCCAAACAAAGAACAAAGAGCAGAAAAAACAAAGAATAGCGCACGATTACAGCGATGAAATTTGGAACCTTCGAAATGCCTCAGAACTAAATGACATTTATCACGACAGTTTTTGCTATTCAAAGACAGCGCGATCAGTGAGCAATGAATAAATTTCGCGTCGGAAATTCACAAGGCTATTCTTGTCATAAGTAATACCGAAAGTAAACGTTTGAAGTTGTCCCTCATTAGTATGTTGATTAAATGGAAGATTCAATCGTGGCATTGAGCTAATGTGTTTCTTTTTCTTATTCCAAGCTTTTGCCTACCTACTGCATCGTCAGGGAATGTCTGGAGTCAGTAATCTTTAGCGTTAGTTTAGCGTTAGTAAAGAAGTAAATGGCGCTTTCCTGCATGAGCCAGTTCACCTGATCACAAATGTGTGTGAAAATGATAGCAAATTTACACCAAAGTTAAAACACGTTTTAAAATTGTTTAGACAAACATTTGACGGTTGGCAGATAAATTTTTTAACGACTAACAATTTGCGGTTATTAGGAACATGTTCCTCATATCAGGTTAAATAAAAGTTTTCACTTTTTTTATAATTTTTACTCAGATTTATTCAATCTTTCTCTTAACTGAAGTGGATTCCTACATCTCTTACTATAATTATTGTTAATTTTGGTTACCGTTATTAAGGTGCAGACAGAATTATCACTATCGCAGTATGCACCACGCCGGTTACTATATTAACGGTAGTAACTTAGCGCTATGTATAGTATCTATGTTAGAGTAGTGAAGCATCGGAGCGCTCCATTCGATTCGCATTTTTTTTTTTACCGACTCTCGTGAAAGCAGGAAAAAATATCTTTTTGAAACATGACCAGAACTTTGCGGCCCTGACTATCCTAATTCTGAGCACAGCACGTAAAAAGCACGAACGAAACTAGACCGCTCACGGGGGATGTACCGAACGTGAACGCAAGCGCTCGCTTTTCATGTTCTTCGCTTAAAAAAATAAAATCATACGAGAGATAAAACGGCTGTGGAAAGACCATGATTAATAGATTAATACATGTAATCCTGGTAATAACGTATCGCAAGAGGTGAAGATTTCACAAGCGTCTTACCGTTTTACTTGAGTAGCTATGTTATCATTTTCAGTTTTCTCATTAATTGTTTTCACCAGCTGGTACTATGGCCTCTCGCAAAATGCAATAGCATTGTCGCCCTTTGTGATACCTGTCGCACTTAGTCATAAAAAAAAGCTAAGCTGTCTCACTTTGTATAATAAAAGGCCGCTGCACGTTCTAATAAAATAAGCTGTCGCACTATGATAATAACCATTATTCATTTTATCATCGTTCTCATTCTCGTCAACATCACCATCATTATTACTGTTGATAGCATTTTCCCTTTTTATTATAATTATTGCTATTATTATCATCCTTGGTAAGGACGATGATAATTATTGGGTCTACTTTCCTCCTCACCATGCCGACCAAGTTCACAACAAACTGCCACATCTTATTTACAAAGTGAGATGGTTTATTTTTAAATAGTGTGACAGCTTTCTTTTTACAAAGTGCGGCAAATGTTATTGCAAAATGCGGAAAGAGTCATTACAAAGTCGACAAATGTCATCACAAAATGCGGCGAATATCATAAAGTGGGACGATTATTACAAATGCGACAGAACAAAAACTTGAGTTCTAATGAACCCAGGCCGACTTTGGGAATCAAGTCGTTTATGTTGGCGAAAACCCCCAATTATCTTTTAGTTTTCCCAATAGAAACTCGTCGTGTCTTGTATTGCTCAATAGGCTCCATTTCGTTTTACGATAAGATATGATGGGGCAGTCAGGATGCTCAACAGGATCTCGAGTTGCTCTTAGATGTGAGAATGTATAACGGTGGAAATGGCTCGATGTGGATCAGTCAGAAAGAAGCTATCTATCAATGAAGTAAGCTATTTTTGAATGACAAAGTATTTATTTGACATAGTAAAGATGAGTTAAAGAAAGATAGTTCATTTATCCATATAACGCCAAGGAGCACTTAGTATACTCGTTTATAATGCGCACGCGCAATTACAAAATACTGAAAATAATTAAAATTACATTAGTATAAAAGACTATAAATAATCATGTGTAGTGCAGAATAACAAATAATAATGATAGCAATTATTTACAATTTTAAACCATATGTCTAATTATTTACAAATATTAAAAGAATTAATATTAATGTTCACGATTGTGAATGAGAACTGATTACAATATATGAGAAAAGAAAAAATTTAGCATTACTAAATAGGAAAAAACAAATTCTTATTATGGTGCTTAGCGATAAATAAACGATACAAGGTTAAATTTGTTTATTATACTTCTAAAAGTATCCACATTACCGATAATTCTAACATTGTGTGGTAAAGTATTCCAACGGTGGCTGGCCATGGATGCAAAGGAATTAAGACGCCACTTGCTATTAAGAGAGTTTTGCTCAAGCTTAGTGCCTGAGTCTCTTAGATAATAATAGGCTCCTTGCACTAAGAAGTCACGTGATCTTCTCCGCCATGTAGGAGAGCAAACAAATCGGTTGCTACGGGAAACTATGGCTGCCTCGTGGGGTCACGAAAGGTCAGTTACACAAATATTTGCACTATTAGCTTCTTTATTTTGGAACAAAACGATCTTTACCCACTCGTCAAATTTGCATAATGCCCAAAGAGCTTCTGTGATCGAACATTTGTATTCACTTTTACTTCTAACGCGTCGGGAACGAACGAATGGCAGGCGAAAGTTTATTTAAGCTTAATCCTATCAACTGATTCATTCATTCATTCATTTATTCGATTTTTCGCAAGAGTTCTGCTCTTTCTTTGGGTTAGGTAAAGATTGTCAAGAATTGTAGTCTAGTTGCATGTCTACAAAATGCGAAACTTACCGAAGGTTGACGCTATTTAGCTTTGTTTGATTGGACCGATTTTCTCAGTAATCCAAGTGTGGACCCTCACATTTACCGAGTATAACCTTCACCGATGTAGAGAAATATGCAACACGTTNAAAAACGATATGACATACCAGTTGGCAAAGTGCGGATTATACGAACGCGAAAACACGAGCAAATATGGAGCTTTCCGACACATCAAATACGTCAGTAAGTCTGCAACTATTACAGTCGTTCTTTTTGAGAGTTCTCAGTGGATAAAGATCGTTTTGTTCCGAAACAAAGAAGCAAGTAGAGCAAATATTTCCGTCACTCCCCTTTCGTCGTCTCACGAGGCAGCCATTGTTTCCCGTAGCAACCGATTTGTTTGCCCTCCAACATGGCGGAAAAGATCACGTGACTTCTTAGTGCAAGGAGCCTATTGGCTGTACGAAGTTTAAAGAAATCTTTAATGCAGCTAGGACCATTTCCATTGAAACTTTTAAAAAGTAGGATCCTTGTCAATGGTATAACTAAAAACCATTTTCAAACATCAGTATTAGCAAAAAAAGAAAAAAACAATAATAATAAAAGACAACATATTAGGCATGTTTAAAACTAAGAGACAAATTTACAGGTCAAAAGCATTTTCGAATCTAAAACTGCCTGTGGGAAGCGGCTAGAAAAGAGATATCTAAGAGACCTTAGAAATTGTCTGCTGACTGGTACATTGAGCTGCATGTTTGACGGTTGACGATAAAAATGTATTCTTTTTTATCTTTGACGTTTAAATTTTTAGGCCGAAATCGGCTCACTGTTAAACTCCATCAAGACCCCTGGTATCCATCTTTGTTCAAAGATAGCTTATTCCACCGCCTTGGTGTTTAGAAATAGTCATTATCCATCAATCCTAAAACGACAATTGGGGATGGACATTATTCCTCGATTTATAATTTTAAAAATCAAGTTGAATAGAAAAAGGAAATCTGATATATTACGCGACAATTAGTGTGCACCAAAACTCCGGGAAAAAAAGTCAGTTTTTTTCATCAACATTCGCTAGTGGTGAAATAATGGTTTATTTAAGCGCTCTGGTACCTTAAATCACTTTTACAAGATACTGTTGTACTCAGTGAAATACTTGTTTAACAAATCTCTTTTTATAAGTTAAAAGAACCTTCAATCGGCAATTACGCAAGTGACGCATGGTTATAACGCTACTGTGTAATAAAATTTAGTAGTGCACTTTTTTTACCTCTTTCTACTGACGCGCATTTCTACTTATTTCATTATCGACCTTTACCTTTATAGACAATCTGAGCACCATTTGGACACGTGGTTCTTCCCCAGCGAACGTACTTCACCCCAGTCTTCCAAAGTTGTCCTTTCTCTCCCTTAGCCCCTTGCGCCCCAGGTCTTCCAAGTGCTCCACAATCGCCCTTAGGACCCAGAGAGCCTGAACAGGTTAAAGATTCCAGGTTTCCCTCCTCTACTGTAGTTATTGAAACCTCTGTTTTTATATCGGAGATATTTTTCTGCTTTGTAATCAACTAAATGGAACGTCTTAACTTACAAAATGCTCATTTGAATTTGTTGCTGAAAGCATTTTACACTTGCGGTGGATTTTTCTGCAGTTGTTATCAACTGTTTGGTTTGTTGCAACAGTGCAAACCACTTTCATATTATACGTTGCTTGATTTAATTCAAGGTTAACTCCAGACTATCGAGAAAAACAAATAACAAATAAGTAAGGTGAAATTTTCATATATACCTTAGAATGAACGCTTAACTTAAAATTTAGCCTGAATCAAATTCTGGCAATTCAAGGCTATCGAGATACACAAACTCGGCTGCACCGAAATCATTTCCTATGCGTTGTTTTAACTTTTCATCAATTGAATTAAAAACGTGCCTATAAAAGAGTTACTGTATGTTCGTATCTAACGGGTCGTGCAATCAGCCAATCAGCCCGATCATCCAGTTGACCATAAATTCCAAAACTCAATTCATCGTCGTCTTATTAATTTCGTCCTACCGAGACACTGAGAGGTATGATTTACGGTTCATTAGAAAAGAAGGGAGTGCAATTTAAAAACTAAAATTTTTCTGTCTGCTTTCCGGCCATTTTGGCAATAAAATGATTCTCTCTGTATTTGTTGTGAGATAGAGTTCTTGTTATAGCGCATTTAGGATGCGCGGGTTGGAAGCAGAGGTGAATTTTGTTTCATGGGTTTTCAAATCCATTAGATTAAACGTGTTTCGGAAGCTATCTTGAAGACTTGCTTTTCTTCCAAGGTTTTCAGTCGCTTGACTATGTCTGGCAAACCCATGGTCTTGTTTTCTTTAAGCGCTCTCTGTCCTCGACGGAACCTCTCGGGGTTTCGCGGATCGGCCATACCGACGAGGTAATGAAAGGCCAAGCAGATGAAAAGCGCAACAAAGAAGTAAAGGCGAACGTTCTTCGAGGTGAGAAATTTCATCTTTAAACAAACTGGCGAAAACTGATAGCTGAAGGGATTTCTTACCATGATAACGCAATTCTGACACAAGATTATGACTAAGAGTCATAAAAGGTGCGATGACTTGTCTTCCTCCTCGAGTTTTTTTTTATTTTTATCGTTTATTACCTCATCATTAGAATAAAACAATATAAGTAGGAATAACTCGCAGTTTTATCTTTTATGAAAAGCTTCACTCATCATTCATTTTGTAATTTCCTTTCTAAAAGATGCGGGATGGTGGACATGACTCTCAAGGACGTGAAGATGCAATAAAACACTCTCCGCT